AATTATAGTTAATCGGAATAATACTATATAGTATTAGTTAGAATAACGAATAAGAAGAAGAAGATAAAATTAGCTTATACTAAAGGATAGTTATATTAAAGCGTCGAAGTAGCTTTAATAATATTATACTCTTCTCCGCTATTCTAAAGCGTAATAAGCAGTTATAACCTAAATACTAGATCCTAACCTTATATAATAAAGCTTCCGATATAATATTCGTATAAAATCCCTTTATAACGATTATATCGTTAAGCTCTAAGTTAGCCTTTAGAGTACCTAAAGGCCTATTAAGAATTCCTTTAAAGAGTTATTTACTTTTACTAATAATCGGAAAGTCGGTTATACCGGATTTAATAGATTCTTTTATAGGGATAAAGGAACCTAGAATAAGCAGGTTAATTAAGTTAATAAGGTAAGTTACGCCGTAATTATTAAGAAGAGTGCTTTATAACAGCGGGTAAGGGCTAGGTCGGAGCGCGGCGTAGATCCTAGGGACCTCTTCTATAGTATAGATAAGGGCGGGATCCAGGATAATAATAATAACCTTTCTAGGATACCTATCTCCTTTACTATTACCGCTCTCCGAGCTTTGTTATCCCTTTTTTAATAGTTTTTCGCGTAAACTCTTCTATTTTAGAAGCTTAATCTCCTTCCGTATCTCCTTATACTACTTATCGTTAACTTAGGTATTAGATCTTTACTTATATTTTCTAGTTAAAGTATACTCTAGCTTATTATAGTTCTCGGGCTTTTATATATACTCGCGTTAATAGGGGTAATTAATACTCTTTTTCTTAGGCTTCTTTCCGCCTTTATTATTATCTAAGTAATCTCCTAAGGTCACGTAAACGCTATAGCGCGTACTATCTATAGTTAAAGCGCTTATAATAGTATTAAACTCACGGCCGTATCTTAGAAGATCGGAAATCTTATCGCCGCGGACCTTTTTTATTATTAGCTCCTAGAACTTAGTTTCTACCTAAATAAGTATAAACTTTTATTTAACTATTATAAAGAAATTCCGAATAGTAGTGGGTCCTTTAATCTTAGCTACCTTTTACTAATATACGTATCTAATAAGGGTATTCTACTCCGTATACTATATAGCCACTTTAGTATTAGCTCGATAAGCGTCTTATAGATACTTTTCGTATACTCGTTTTACCTTTTCCTTTATATAAATACTACTTAAAGTAAAGCTATTCTTAAATTCTTTTATTACGTAGCATAACGTAAAATATCGGTTTTACTTTTCTTTATTATAGCCAGGATATTTCTTAATAGCCTCTTTAATAGCCTATTAATAAGTAAAGGTCTTTATAGTGGTTTTAAGTAGTTAATTAGCCTTATCGAGCGCCTTAATAAGGCGACTAAGCTTTTAATTCTAGGCTATAGTCTATTAATTCTTAATTTCGGCGAGGCGTATAAGCTCCTATATTAAGGGTATAATAATATTATCACCCTTACCTTAGGAATACTATTCGTATAGTTAATCCAGGGATCTAGCTATAATATACTTAGGACGGTTATTTAGCTAATCCGTTTAGCTAGGATCGAGTAATACCTAAACCTTTATCCTTTACGTATACGACTGGATATAAAAGATCTAATCGGCCTATTACCGCGTGGATTTAAGGCGCGGGATACGAAGCGTTTTAGCCGTGATCTTAAGCTTATTCGATATAGTATTAAGTAAGGGTTTAGCGAATAAGAGCTTATTATTAAGAGAGAGAATATAAGAGGGCTCCGTAATACTATAGAAGTATATAAAAATAAATATAAATAATAAATTAGTAGGAAGTTACTAGTTACTATTACTACCCGGGCTTATAACTATTAAATTAATAGGAGTATGCTTATATAGAGCGTTAATTTAGGAAATATATAATTATATTAAGTATAAAAGAGAAAGGAAAAGGGGCGGGTATACGTGTCCTAAATATATCTACTACCTTCTAAGCGAGGATAGTAGTGCACCTCTAACTAATAGGAGGTTACTATACCGTGGCTCACGTGCTAGAATATATTAGTTAGGCCCCTTTCGGAGCCAGCCTGCGCTTCTCTGCTAACGTATGCAAATAAGGTAAGCTTAAGAATATCGAGACATCTGGGCTTGTTATATTTGTCGCGGGCGGACTTGCCGTTGTTGCCTACCCTGACTTTGTGGCATTATTCACAACGTGTTGACAATCCTCCCGAGACAAAACCCGTCCCATCTGAACACCGGGGATGCTCGCTCGGAGTCTCAAGAAGGCTTGGGTCACGCTGAGCTGATTTTATGATGTTGATTCACGGCTCAAAGCCCACCCCAAGGTGAAGTAAATCAGTGGCCCCAGGCCGGTCGCCGGGCCTCTGTCGCGGAGAATTTCGGGCGTCGCTTTGTCCGTGTGTCGGCTCCTGCATAACGTACAAGCAATGGCTCGAGGTTGCTGGACGAACGGCCAGATCGGACCGGCCAAAGCATGGCGGTCCAACCAACTTTTGGTTTGGGAAGCCTCACCGATCGGAATCCCCGACGTTACCTCGTCACCTCACGCTTGATTGAAGCTCGATTCGGCAGGAGCCACGGAGACCGCTCCCTCTGCGGTTATCCGGTCGCAGGCAACGGGTGCCATACTGATTATACCACGCCGGTAGCCGCCCATCCAGACAACCCCCGAGTCCCTCAACCACCCCTGTACCGCCAGCGACCCGTCCCTCGCAGCGGCTCCGAGTCCCACACAAATGCCTTGCTTCTCTACCGGCCTCTAGGTGGATCGTGAGCCAGTCCAATCAATATCCTACAGCCCGTATCGATACAAGCACCTAGGAAGGAAGAAAGGGAAAAAAAAAAAAGTACCTTCTCATACGTTGTGCAATACGCTGCTGGAATCAGCCCCCGACACGAAAGTTGTGCCATGTTGGGGTGTATTGAGGCCTGCAGCTGTCCGAGTCTCTCAGGTGTCAGGAAGTCCTTGGCTGGCAAAATGGAGGCCTTTCCGCAGGGATAGATTGGCGCCGGTCTATGTACAACGTATGTGATGCCGAATCCTCGCAGACTCTCCCGCGACGAACCTCAAGCAGAGTCCCTTGGTATCATGGCTCAGCATCCGCAATCCAGCAACAACTGGATGGCGGCTCTCGGATGCCACCCCCGAGACCGACGACGGTAACTTCTATGCCAAAGGTTACCCAGGGCCATCTGATATTCGCCAAGGCATCGGCATAGGTAATCTGACATTACGTGGTTAGCATTAACCGGTTCTTTTTCTTTCGCCTTGGGCTGCTGGGCGTCTGCGGCCCTGTGGCCTGTTCCACCACTCACTTATCAGCAGATTCTGCGCCTAGCCCCAGAGCACAACATGGATTCGACTTCAAGTGCCTGGCGCGGAGAAGATGTGTCTCAAACGCATCGTTTCAACACCAATAATCAGACGTAATTATTATTTGTACAGACGTTTTTATGGGCATGGGGGGGGGCACCAGCTTCTAGTAGACCGAAGACGGGGAGACTGGTCTAGATGATGCACTTTTACTAGCGGTAAGGACACGGCATCTTCCGTCCCACAGATATTACCCCTGTTTAACACGGCTGGGAAGATTGAAACCGGTGATCTGCCTTCCTTCTCGGCGAGGTAACGACAATACCGATACCGGTCCTTTCCCCAGAAACGAAACACGGGTGTCCGTTGGGTATGTCAAGTTACAACGTACATTGCACTCTCATACAACCTCTTCTTGACCATGCCTCGTTGTGACAACCAGTCACCACCTGAAACAGAAGAGAGAAGAATACTTCCAGGGATCCTTGACCACAAAGAACGTTGCCGAATTCGGATTAGCATCCCATTCAAGACCCCGTTAGCCGCAGCCGCCGGCTCTGTCCATCATCCATCATCCCTTCTCCTAGACTCGCTTAGGGGCCAGTCCGCAGCGGGGCGGGAAGCCTGCATGTCTCGGGTTTTGTACCTCCGCTCGTTGCGACTGCAGCAACGAAACGAACTATGTGAGGGCTGGGAAATGAGCGGGATTTCTCGGGACCCATCACCCCGAATTCCCGAATCACACCAATGACACCGACATCTATACAACGCATCTAATCCTACGACGGCGGCGGTTAATGCTGCTCGAAGACTATTATTCGGTTGTAATACGGAGTATCTTGGTCGAGACAGGCCGCTGCCCTGGCGTTTAAGGATGGCGGGGCACCGGCATTAGGAGTCCGGGGAGATCAATACTTACATCCATCGGACGGCACATCGCACAGAACAAAATGTGATCTGAACATCTCCAGGGGGCTTACATGGGCAAATGTATATCCCGACCACATTGCGAGGTGAAGAGGGGCATGCTAGTTTTTAGGTCGTCTTCATGTCCACGTTCCGAGAGTTGGCAAAGCTTTGCTCATCGCTGTCTCAAAGCAATATCCTGCAGTCCGTCTTCTCACAGGCGCCACGTTCCGCACTAACATTTAGTCCTCGCACCAACGATTACAGCGTACATAGAGCAACTTACTGTGGCCCATGCGGGCTCCACGCGTGCTAAACGACCGGTGTGTGGAGGCCAAGAAATAGAGTCGACGCCGCTTTGTAGTGTACAGGCTTGTTTGCCTGTTGTTGTCTTGGAGTAATTAATTACCTACCTGGCTGACTGGCGAAAACGACTAACTAGTAAGACTACGTTGTAAGCAAGAGGCGGAAGGCGTAATTAACGCTTAGTATGTAGAGATTTCATCCTTGGCCCAAGAAGCCAAGGAATCGGCTTGCTCGATCGCGGACCAGAGTCGAGCAGATAGGGTGAACTGCTTTCTCTATTCCGGGGCTTCCCAATCCACCGCACCGCCCGGGCCAGTTCTCCCAACCCAGGAAACACTCAAGGACCGTAGATCCCCACAACCGGCAGTGCTCCCCAGTCTGTGCGGTCTCAAGATCGGATGACAGGGTCCGTGGCAACCTCGGGAGGAGTCTATTGTTCCAAACCAGCGAACACAGTTAGCAGAGTGAGGAAAGTAAAGATGGAGGCTTGCTTCAAGAGGATGTCTCATTGAATTCGCTACTCTGACCCGTAGTCACTTCAACATGTTGGTATAACCGAGTGTGCTCTGCGTCTCTATATCCCAAGTAATCCGTACATGCCCCTTTGGCTGCCCATCCGCTGTAGGAGAGCGTTCCCGAAAATAATAATAAAAGGAGAAAGCGCCTGCATGAACGCTTACAACGCCGGCGAAGGCACGGATTGTCGGACCCGTTTTTACCGTCTTTTGGCGCCCAATGTCGTCGCGCCTTTTCTTGCGCCCGAGACGGAAAAAAAGAAAAAAAAAGGAGAAAATAAAAACTCCGTGATAATGTCCTGACCGGTTGCAACAGCCGACCTCCAATAAACAGAAGAGACCCAAAAGCCGGTCCATGCTTGCTTCCCCACCTGTGTGTTTACCATCTCATCTCGCGATGGACAGAGGTTATTATATGCCTCCCGCGCATAAAGAGACCCCTTCTTTCGTGCGTCTCATGGAGAAAGAAAGAAAAAAAGGAAAAGAAGGAAGAAAAAAAAAAAGAACTCCTCCGTCCTCACTCCGGACCCCGCGAGGCAACGATAGGGGCACCCGCACTCCCGCTATCGAAGCTATGGCAGCCGCGCTCGTGGCGCTTCATGTTGCTGCGGACGCTGAAGGCCTTGCCGCAGCCGGCATGGGGGCACTTGAAGGGCTTCTCGCCGGTGTGGCTGTGGCTGTGGATGCGGAGGGAGCTGGGGCGGGAGAAGGCCTTGTTGCAGGTCGGGCAGACGTAGCGGTCCTGGCTGTGCGGGAAGCTGGCGGCGGCGGCCGGGGAGATGTAGTGGTGGTGCTGCCAGGGGTTGGGGCCAGAGGCGGCGGCGGCGGCGGGAGGTGGGCCAGAAAGAGCTGGGAGCATGGTCCCGGCGACGCCTGGCGGTGGTGGCGGGGGGAAGTTTTGTGGGAGTGGTCTTTGGTAGTAGAGACCGGACACGGGGTGAGAAGAGGGAGGAGGAGTGGTGTGGATGGGAGATGAGTAGCAAGGGGGAGGTCCGGCGCTGGTGGCGGAGAGGGGGTTGTGAGAAGGTGCATAGGAAGAAGAGGCGGCGGAGATGGGGGTCTGGTGCTGCGAGGGAGGATAGGGGTTGGTTTGAGGGATGGAGAGGCGTGGCGGTGCGGGTGGTTGATGCTGCGCCGGGCTCGGGTAGCTTGGAGAGCGGTGGTGGAAGAGCTGATGGTGAGGATGAGGACGATGGCCGGAGTCTGCTTCCAGCGGAGGAGTGGTCTCGTGGTAGTAGTTCGGGTGATGTTGCTGGTGATGCTGGGGGCGGACGGCGGAATGGGGAGCAGTAGTAACATGGCTGATAGACCCGGTGGAAGGGGAGTTGTGGGCGTCAAAGGAAGCGTCCATGCTCATCGGCGGTGTTGGCGGGAAGCGGGATTGCTGGTGCACGGCGGAGCTATGATGAGATGAGCTTGGCCTGGTTTCCGTTTTCGACTCATGGTGGTATTGCTGAGGCGAAGAAGCTATATCGTCATGTTTTGTTAGCAAAACCCGTCTTCGACCTGGGACAAGTTCGTGGTTCGTACCTCGCTTTTGGTGGTGCTGCTGGGGTTGTCTCGGAGACTGGTGGTGAGGGTAGTTCTCGCTGGTAGGTGACCCTTGGTCTGCGAGCCCGAGGAGGTTCGAGATGGAAGGAAGAGAGCACTTTGATGATGAGTCGTCCATGGGGGGCGATGGTGGTGGTTGAGGGACAGATGCGTAGTGAGGTGTCGGTGCAGGTGGTTGTTGATGTTGTTGATGTTGTTGTTGCTGGTGTTGCTGGTGTCGTGGTTGTGATGCGTAGTAGCGGTATGATGATGGTATTGAGTTCGCCATGTTTCTTTGTTCCTCTCTCTTGCCACTTCCCAATGAAGGCTGAGGGTTTATTTACCGCAGGGATGGTTCACTCGTTTGCCTCGCTGATGGTGAGTGTTTCTGTCTAGTAAGTAAGATGAGTACGTGGGGACGAAGACCGAGCGACTTGTGTTGCTGTGATGTTGAGGACTTTGTTCAGATGTATGTCGACGACGTATTCATCCACCACGGAAGACCGCCGATAATAAAGGGATATTGGGTTGTATCGGCTTAATTAGGGCCCAGACCGTTTGGTATTGATTATTTGCCTCCCGTAGGTGATGTGACGAGGAGAGTATGTCGGAATGGAGACGTTCAGATGAGTTGACGGTGTGAAAGAGGGTGGATTTTTTTCGTCGTTGAAGTCGAGATTTGCCAACTAGAAAATGGGGTGGGAGGGAGGACGGGTAGTTTTAAGTGAGAAAGGAAGAAGGGGGAAAACGGGGGCCGGAATAAGCCTTGTCGAGGATCTGTTTCCTCGTTCTTTTGGTTCTCACAAGCAAGGTGGTAGGGAAGAACACCAGTCGTGGTGGAATGGGTATGGACATGGGTATGGGTACAACCAACGTATGGGGCATGAAGCGAGGATTAAGGAGGCGCCAGGAGGCAAGGGGGCTCCATCTGAGATCTTCCCGGGCCGGACCAGGTTTCTGAAGTGGGAAAAGTATGATCAATGTGGCCGATGATCCCCCCGGGGACCCTCGAAGTTCGAGTGGGCCGTGAGGCTCCTCGGTGCGAGGGATGTTGGATGCTGCCCCTGTTGCGGTGCTCGAGGGACGGAGTTAGGGGG